TGTGTGTGTGTGTGTGTGTGTGTGTGTGTGTCTAAAGAGAGCTCAGGGGTCAGACAACAACCCATTTTTAACTGTCTAGTGTGTATTGGTGTCCAGTTTAATTGACGGAGATGTGAATTGATTTTCTGGATGAACTGTGATAGTCCTTCCATCAGCTGCACTCCCATCAATCCCTCCTCCATCTCTCTCTTTCACACACACACACACACACACACACACACAAACACACATATAAACACAATTTTCAGTGTCAGAGCTACACCGTATGATGTCTAACGTATTATGAAGTCTTATGTATTTATGTTGGTTTCATAGGGTGTTGAAATTTTTTTATGCCATTTTAAGAAAAGTTTTAATTTACTGACTATATCAGGTTAAGAATAACATTTTCATTGATATTTAATATTTTTGCAAGGTAAAAATATATAACATTTTATGTGTATGGTGTTAATTATTAACACCATACACACACACACACTTTTCAGGAAACTGAAAAACATTGTGTTTTTAAAAAAATAATTAAACATTGCGTTTTCATACATGTTAAGAAACATGCATTTGAGGCAGTAAGTGCATCACACTACATTTTTATTTTTATTTTGGCGGAAAACCAAAGGGAAACTTTTCAAATGCTTCTTTCTTTGCTTACAAATTTATAAATGGTTCTCATTACAAGTTTGGGAAGATGTTCGGTGCATGTTGCCTTTTCAAATGCACGTTATACATGACAAACTCATGGCACTTGCAGAGATGGAGTTTGTGTGGAGCAGCATTGACTGAGAACCATGAAAAGATCTCAGTACTGATCTATTTCAGTTTTTCTACTTTGAAATGTATTGTTTTATCAAATGTGTTTGTATCTGATTCTTCGTAATTATTTGCGAAATTTGCTAGCAATTTCTGAGTTAAATTTTTTTCTACACCTATTTTTGTCAGTGTGTGACTTTTCTAAGGGATAGTTGGTTTTCGAGGGAGAGACGGAGGAATCAGGCAAAGCATAAAGAAAAGGAGCAGGATGGTTGGTCTTTCCTTTAATTAGCTGCATGTGGCTTTAGCAATATATAATAGATAGCAATATCTGTGTAAATATAAGAGGTGATTTCCTTTGCAAGGACTTTCCCTCTGCGACCACCGGCATTAATCTCATACTGGAATTACCACAAAAGCAGCTCTGCAACACGGATTCAGCACAGCATCAATCAGAGGACGAGCAGCTCTATAAGTCCGGGCGCAGCTGAAATTGCATGCTGAAGTTGTACCATATTTGCTCTCATAAATAAAACATGGTGATTTTGTACTCTGAGCTTAAAGTCTTCAAGACTGCGTCCTACACAAGTGTGCGAGGAGACTCGAAAGGAAAGTGTGAGTGGGGAAAAACAAAAATCTATTGAGTGGATCATAATGTGAACACAAGCTGGTCCAGCTGCTGGTAGAAGGACTTCACAGAGCCAGAGATTATAAGAGTGAGAAAACTGATGCATTCAACTGAAAAACCTGCTAAAGGCTTTTCTCACCCCTGCATGAGAGCGCAGGGCTTCTCATAAATAAAACATGGTGATTTTGTACTCTGAGCTTAAAGTCTTCAAGACTGCGTCCTACACAAGTGTGCGAGGAGACTCGAAAGGAAAGTGTGAGTGGGGAAAAACAAAAATCTATTGAGTGGATCATAATGTGAACACAAGCTGGTCCAGCTGCTGGTAGAAGGACTTCACAGAGCCAGAGATTATAAGAGTGAGAAAACTGATGCATTCAACTGAAAAACCTGCTAAAGGCTTTTCTCACCCCTGCATGAGAGCGCAGGGCTCCGTCAGCGTGAAGAGCAAAGCAGAGCAGAGGGCAAATTCAGAAACATTTGCCATCTTCCCCATCTACCGGACTAAGTCACAAACACTGACAGGTGCTGTAATTCATTTTACAATGCCAACATAAAATTACCCAGCATTACAATGATTTTAACACACTTTTATGTTTCCTAAACATGTGCCATGACTCAGGATTTTGAGACCGTTGAGACAAAAACATTTTAATTGCATATCTGATTTAATATTAAGTCATAAAAGTGGCATTAAAGCTTGATGTTTGATTTGCTTTAATGAATTGGTTCAAATCAACATTTCACTTGTATCATCAATCTCAAATGTTCACAGAAATTGACTTTTTATATATTAAAATGTTTTAATTAAAATACTTGTTTATACTATATATTGGGGAATACAAAATACATATAATTATTCCTTGGATTCAAACCACTGTGGATTATTTTATTATTCTGATTATTTTAACTATATTTTACTTAATTCATTAAATATTTTGGATTAATTTGTCCACAATAACTTATTAAAAATATTTCAAAATAATATTTAAAATATCTATGACCAAATATTATTTTATGCAATAAATAGCAGATTTTTATTTCAAAGCAAATACTATAAGGCTGAATACTGTCAAAAGCCTCAACATTTTCAAAGCATTTATTTGCTTAAAGATACAGTAAAAAAGTGATATTGTGAATATTATTACAATTGAATTACAAATAATTGATTTCTATCTGAATATATTTTAAGGTGCAATTTATTTCTGTGATGCAACCCTTATTTTTCAGCATCATTACTCCAGTCTTCAGTGTCACATGATCCTTCAGAAATCATTCTAATATGCTGATTTGCTGCTCAAGAAACATTTCTGATTATTACCAATGTTGAAAACAGTTGTGCTGCTCCATTTTTTTGGAAACTGGGATACTTTTTTTCAAGATCATTTGATGAATAGAAAGTTTATTTGAAACAGAATTTTTTGTAACATTATAAATGTCTTTACTGTCACTTTTTTGAAGTTTTGATCAATATAATTCATCCTTGCTGAATAAAAGTATTTTATAAAAGTATATTTATGGCCAACCTGTTCCAGACATTTACGCTATCTATTCCAAAACAATCTGAATAAAACACCACAGCCAATAGCTAACTTAACTTTGCTGCAAAACAAACACACTACATCTACCTTGGTCAGCCTTCCAGAAGATAGTAAGACGTAAATATTTTTCTCAAGGTACACAACTAAAATTCCATATAAGGTGAGTCCTAGTTTTGGGAATGGTAGCGGTAAGTAAATGATTAATGCTGCTGGTATTAGTGCACCATAAAGATCAGCAGCGGTAATAAGTGACCAGACTTTGGTGTTCTTATTGTTTTTATTGGCCTCAGGGTTCAGGGACTACATGACATAAGGCCTGTGACTCTCATAGAGCTGCACAAACACACTCTTATCAATTCTGATCTACGGCTGGAGTAAACAAAGCTATTTGATTTTGCAAAAATACTTGCTGAAATCTTTCTCCAGGGACTCTAACACTTCAGGACCTGAATCTTTCAATGATGACAGCAACAATTTCCCCAGCAAAAAAGCAAACCAGCAGGTCTCATATTTTTGGACTTATTAATTTGCCCTTTAAAAGCTGGATAAATGTGACACGAAGCATGTAGTGTTCATTAAGACCTGCGAGGGTCCCTCCAGACAAACAAGATCGATGTGAATCTGAAAGATCCTCCCGCGTACGCTATTACACAAACAACACAACGGTGATTGCATCCAACATCTCAAATCCTTTTGACATCCATATTTCCTCATCTCATTTTTTCATAGCGCTAACCAGAATCTCCTCAATTTATTTGAAAGAAAATAACACTTGACTACTTGTGTGATGTAAAAAGACAGCCACTTTAGGAAAGAAGGTTGTGTTTGTTTTGTAAACAGCATGATATTCCCATTCCTACGCACTTGGGTTTTTAGATCAGAGATGTACAGAATGGCAGTCATGAACTGATAGAAGAGAGTAGTGTGTATTTTAAGTGTGCTACTCACTGTCTGCATGGATTGGCACCGCCAGGAAGAGCAGCAGCAGGAGGGACAAGGCTCTGCCACGAGGAGAGGCCTGTCGGGTATGTGGCACCATGATTCGTGGATGGCACTCACCGCAGGGGTTCCTAAACTCCTGCTGGATCACTACACACTCACGCTACCATTTAGTGAGACCTAACGGGGGACACAAAGGAGAATGACATCAGAAAGATGCAATGCCAACAACACATACAAATACTCAAACATGACATCACCACATTCCAAGACATGAGCTCATTATTAGCATTCCGAGAGCATTACATCACATTCCTGTAATTCTGTATGATCAGCCTGTAAATTAAAGCAATAGGAGAATGACATCATGAAGCATCATGACAATGTATGCAATCATACATTACATCATCACATTCCAAAACATTACAGCATTATCTACTCTGCTTAAATATTTCATAAGAAGTCTTCTGAAGTCATATGATAGCTTTTGTGAGGGGGGTAGATTTTCCTTCAATTATTACAGACACACAAAAACAAAAAACATTGCAAATGAGTATATTTTGTCTACATGTCACATTGTCATGTAGACAAACATGCTTCATTTTAAATCTAATGAAACTTTGCTTAATCACTGAATCGAATGATAGCTTGCAGTTCAGTTCAGAGTTCAGAGATGCTGATTCAGTAACAGCTCTGATGGATTCAGTTTCAGAACAGTTCAACCCAAATATTCAGATGTGTGCAGCGCATTTTATGGAGGACTGTTTCCTGATCCTGGGAGAGTAGACTACAATGCCGGCTGTTCTGACTCACAGTCTATAAGTACGTTTTCATATTTAAAGAATTTGCCACTGATGATTCAAACGC